GTCATAATAAATAATAACATTAATGAATCATTTTAACATATTGGTAAGAGTTAATTCTTACTGATTTAATCTTCATCTTATTTCTTATATTCTTTTCTCTCATTTTCTTCTTCTTTTATCAGTTTCTTATTCTTATTTCTTATTCTTATTCTCCTATTTTCTTTTGTTTACTTTCTTATTTATTGTTCTTCTTTTATTTCATTAATTTAAATGTTCAATTAGTTTTTATTCAGTTTTCTTTTCCTTCTTTATTTTATTTTACTTCTTCTTATTCTTTATTTCTTTTAAATGCTATTTCTGATAATCTGAGTTGTTTGAAACTAAAACAATTGAAGTAAACAAAAACAGAGAAAATAATCAAAGAATATTAATGAACAAATCCAAATAAAGAACAACCAATTATTATTTTATGTGTTGATGGTGCATGTTATTCTTTTTTCTAAAAACAACAATTACAAAACATGAATTCGTAATTTATCTATGACGTTAAGTGTTATGTCATTATTGAATTATGAAAGTCAATCACTCATATTAATTACTAAAGAATGACTTATAGAAAAAAAACTCTAATAAAGTATTTTATTGAAGATACAATTTCAAAGATTAACGTTATTAAAAATTTTAAGTAAATAGAAGGGTATCAAATAACCATTGCAAATACATAAACTAAACAAATACATGACTCATTTAAGAAAGTACAAATAAAACATTGCACTTTGGTTCTTTTTAACAGATAGAATAGGTTTTGATTTAAAAAAGTATATATGAAGAGTCCTAAATGAATTTGTATAAGATTATTGTTTAAAATAATATAAACAAATACAATAAATGTAACTAAGTTATAGTGTATTACTAAAATCTTTTTATTAAAGAGTGTTGTTTCACAACTCCGTATTTTCACTATTACTAATATCTCCGTTTTCTTCTTCATTCTCTTCTTCATTTTCTTCTTCATTATTCTCATCATTATTCTCATCACCACTCTCATCTCTATTTTCTTCTTCTAAACCACCAACCACTCTAAAGCCATTGAGAATATCTTCAAGTCTCCCACCATTTAATAATGCTCTAAATAATAAATCTTCAACTCCAAACATGTGTTCATTTCTTGTGTTGAAGTTTCTTCTGCGAGTAAGTAATGTTGGTCTAACTTCTCTCACAGCATTAGGAAATTTATTACACATAAACTGAGTAATGATTCTCATATCTATTGCAATTTCACCAGTTAATAACATATTTACAGCGACTTCTTTATTTCCAGCACACATACAATAAGCAACAACAGCAGTTTGTTGATCAAATCCAACATCACTTAGAATTAATATATCATCTTTTGTTGTTGGGTAAATGATAAAACTTGCATCATTTCTCTCACTTAAAGTGTCTCTCTATCACTTCATCATGTCATATCTGTTTTCAAT